TGAAACCCATTTTGACTTTAAATAAGAGGTGATGGGGTGGGACTTCGGAAAACTTCATTCCCACTTATCCTTTTTGCAGCCACCACATGCTCATGTGATCCTTGGTGCCATTCATGCTGCTGGTGTACACCATTTTTCTTTAATGCAAGTTCATTCTTGAGCTCAAAAGATTCCAGAGTAATGGCAGGAAGCATTCTTACATCCTCTACAGATCTTCCCTGCTACTGCAGGGAAACTCTGCATTCTGGTCCTGCTGCTCTTGCCAGTGCCCAATGAGTATGCACCATAGAACATGGCCAAAGTTCTCTCCTGGCAACAGTGTTAGCAGCCAAACTACATCTCAATGACATTTCTCCAGTATTATTGACCTTTTCTCATTGAAGAACTATAACATTCACTAGACCACAATGTGAAACACCATTATCGTAGGTTGCTGGCCTGATGAAATCTTGCTTTTTCATGTTGTGATTAAAAATAATAATAATAATAAAAGGGAGATAAAAGGAACCAGGTATTGTTTGTGGGTTAAACTTACAGACACAATCCATTTTGGAATTGTGGATCAATTGTGGACCTACATTGGCTCCCAATACATTTCCGAAGACAATTCAAAGTGTTGGTGCTGACCTTTAAAGCCCTAAACTGCCTCGGCCCAGTATACCTGAAGGAGCGTTTCCACCCCCATCGTTCAGCCTGGACACTGAGGTCCAGCTCCGAAGGCCTTCTGGCGGTTCCCTCACTGCGAGAAGCCAAGTTACAGGGAACCAGGCAGAGGGCCTTCTCGGTAGTGGCACCCACCCTGTAGAACGCCCTCCCATCAGATGTCAAGAAAATAAACAACTATATGACATTTAGAAGACATCTGAAGGCAGCCCTGTTTAGGAAAGTTTTTAATGTTTGAAGTTTTAATGCGTTTTTAATATTCTGTTGGGAGCCACCCAGAGTGGCTAGGGAAACCCAGCCAGATGGGTGGGGTATTAATAATAATAATAATAATAATAGTAGTAGTAGTAGTAGTAGTAGTAGTAGTAGTAATTAATAATAATAAACACAGGGTGCTGCTTTATACCAGGATGCAGAGCGATCTGCTGTGCTGGAGGGGCTTTGCATGGAGCAGAACTGCCCACTGCTGGGTGAGCACCCCAGTACACATGCACAAAAAGCAGGTGGAAGCTTCCACCCATGGAATCCCCGCTGGTGACTGCCTGCAAAAACCTCTGAAATTTGAGGGTGGGCAGGTTGAGCCATCACAGGATCCTGAGCTGTCCCTGCTGCCATCCCATGACAGCAACTCTTTGCTGTGACAGCCTGGGAGCTAATGCAACAAACGGATGTTTTCCCTGTAGCACCACCACCCTGGTAGTGCTGGCTGCATTGCTCCGCCAAGTCCCACAGCCAGGATTGCTGGCTTAGGCCGCTGTCCATCCATCCCAATATTTTTTAGACATTATCTGACTAGCAACATCTCTCCAAGGTCCCAGGTAGAGGTTTTTCACAGCCATAGAAACTGGAATGTTGCGCAGGAAAAGCAGTACCGTGTGCGTCATTAACACCCAAACACATCTTTTCAGTCCTTCTTTTAACCTTATTTTCTGAATCAGGCCTGAATATGGTAGCATTTTGTCCAGACATGATTACAGTAAGTCCACAATTTACATGGGGGTTACTTTCTGGGGGTCTCACCTAAAGTCAAAATTGGGCATTCAGGAAAAAAGTCTTTGACAGTCCCATCCACCATTGCACCCCAATGTGTTTTGACTATACAATTTTGACTTTAGGTGAAATCCCCAGAAAGTAACCCCCACGTAGAATGCCCACCCACTTTTTAGTTTTATTTTATTTTAGGGAGAAGTGCATAAAGCTGAATGTTCACAAGTTAAATGTGCGTAAGTTGTGGGCTTACTGTATGTATGTATGTATGTATGTATGTATGTATGTATAATGTTTAGCCCAGTAGGCTTTCACCTCACAGCACCTCACTTGCAGCTCAGTTCGGCTTCCGGGATTTGTCCAATTTCCTTATGCATGATATGCAGCATAAGGTTCCAAGTGCAACCTGTACTGTGAAAAGAGGATTTATGAATTATGAAGAGGCTTACGTGGATTAGAGGAAAATGCAGCTAGCAAGATAAAAGACAAGTAGAGGACGTTTAGATACAAAATAAGGAAAAGGTGAGGAAGAATGACGGAGCAAATTTATAATTAGCAGGGAAGAGGATGGAATTAGACATGTGCAGACAGTGACTAGCAGGCTAGTGGTTATTGCTGTGTAGCTGGGGGGGGAGCGGGGAATGAAATCTGCAGTTGGGCTGTATTAAGGGGGGGGAACGCAAATGATGGGTTTTGACCATGGCTTCCCACCAAGCAGCAGGGAAGCCATTTTAAGCAGAGAACCAAACAGGAATTGAGAACCTTTCCCCTGCCCCTTTCCGCCCACCCAAACCCATCCTAGGTGGGTTCATCTCTGACCTTGGAGCCTGCAGCTGAGTCTTAAGAATCATGCACCTACAGATTGGGTGTCACAATCCTTTAGAAAACTTTGTTCTTTTAGGATGTGCTGTGTGTTCATTTTATCTACAAAATAAATAAACCCCGATGTCATTAGTCATAAGTCATTCCTCAACAAATGGACCAGCAAAACTTCTGTGGGACATGAGTTTTGCCTTCTGCCCAATGCCTCTTTCCACAAGTCCCTCTGTTCTCAAAAAACACTCATCCTTTCACATGTTTTCAGAGGAAGGTTATTTAACATAGAGATTTACTGCTGAAGACGGTGTGGGCAAGATGTTGGGTGTATATAATGTAGATTTTAGATATTGGCCACTGCATAGCAGCAAATGAATCCTCAGGACCAAGTACAGTAATGTAATCAGAGCTTCCTTCATATATTTTACCTTCAGGTCAAAGGATTAAAAAATTGCATAGATTAATTTATTAATAGTTTTCATGTTACTAATTGTAGAGTTCATCTTTTTATGGCTTTTGCAAAAAAAAAAAGATTTTAAAATCACATAATAGAATGAATACAAATCAAGTTTATAAGCATTTGTAAAAATCATTTAGCAAGGTATCTGCATAAAATAATTTGCTTCTGTTAGACAAAATATAAAATCTAATTTTAACGAACTTTGGAATTGAAGCCCTCATCTTATCAGTTATTATCCTGGTTATTTGAATTTTTATATTTCATGCTTGCATGATCAAAAGAATTATTCGACTTACATATTCTGAGTCTTACTCTTTAGTGCTTCTTTCCTTCCAATTCTTGATTTGGCTGGGATAACTTTTATGGCTGTGCGGCCACCACCTGTTTCTAATCATTCATATCTCTAGAACATCAATATTCACATCACTAGAATATCAAGAGGTAGAGGAAAGTATAAGCAAAAATGTGTGATCACCTTTGCTTATTTTCATATTGATATTGTAGTTATGTGAATTATCCCACAAAATCCCTATACAGTAATGCCGATTGCATTTTCTTAGTCATGCCATTCATCTCCTCCCTCCCTGTATTCCTCACATCTGTCGATAAGCTGATTTTAGAACAACACAGAGATGGCACTACATTTGTTAGTATAATAGCTCATATATATTTCCAATTCTTAGTATTCCTCAAGTCTCACTGATACCGTAGTCTGTCTGGGTCTGGGTCTATGTGTACATACACAGGGCAGTATCCATTGAAGTTGCCCCTTTCATGAAGGGATAGCAGGCATCCTTCATCTGTTCTGGCATTTTATTTATTTCTTTAAATATCTATAGCCTGCATTTTTTTATTAATAACACAGGTCCTGTACAACATGGGGCAGATTCAGGGTGGGGGGAGGGGCGAAGAGAAGCGGCAAGTTCCTTGCACAAACAGGTTGTCTTCAGTGGATACAGAAAACAGTGTATGAAATAAATAAATATATAAATCTATATTTGTATACAGTGATACCTCGGTTTTCAAACATAATGCATTCCGGAAGACTGTTAAGTTCTGAAACATTCGAAAACCGAGGTGCAGACAGTCACAAAAACAAATTTGTTTCAAGAGAGCGCCTGGGATTAGCTGAACACAGATTGATTGCACGTGGAAGACGTGGCATGTTCAACTTCTGAGGCGTGTTCAAAAACCAAAGCATTTACTTCTGGGTTTTCAAACATTATGGCGTTCCGGAAGACTGTTTGAGTTCTGAAACATTCGAAAACCGAGGTGCAGACAGTCACAAAAACAAATTTGTTCAAGAGAAGCGCCTGGATAGCTGAAAGAAGTCATGCTCAAATATACACTTTTGGTATTGATATCAATTATGCAGATTCAGATTCATGCTGATGCAGTGAAAGAATTCTGCATGTAACCATGTTGCCTTGTCACATAAAAAATATTTGTAGTATTATAAAGATGAAGAAGCACAAGTACCACTGAGGGACTCTGGCTGCATCCCACAGGTGTCCATTTTAAGATTTCATATCTATATCTATGTCATCTATATGTATCTAATTTACTTACTCACCCATCCTGGAGATTACATTGTCATTAGAGCAATTGTTCAGGTGAAAATTTGACCCCACACCATACTTCTAATCCATAAACGTTTTGGACGCCTCTGTTTACCAGATTTGAGATCTTACATCAAATTCTCTTCTTACTTTAGCTGAATAAATCCAGGTTTATCCAATGGAGCTTTAACAAAATTGTCCCAAACTTACATGGTGTGATTGCACCTTGCATGCAATTAACTTGCGTGATTTCAACCTTACGTGACTGAAATTCTGCAAATTAATTGCAGGCGAGATGGAGAGCTTAAAAACTCTCTGCCTTGCTTGGAAAGTGAGGATGCTCACACGGGGACAGTTCCAAGGGTGCCACCTCAAGAACGTAACCCCCATTCAAGTTGCGATCGTACTGTAAGAGAGGAACTATAATAGGAATTTCTTGTCTTTATGATTAAAAATAATAATTGAGAAATAAAATGTGGCACTTTTTAAAATTAACAGCTTTTCATTTCTTTCAGCGGCTGATCTAAGCAATCTAGACAGCATGGTGAACCTCTTGCAAGATGAAATCAGCACCTCCAGGAGGAGGAGGAGATACCCAAGGCATGCGACGGATGACGATTACAACATTGAAGTGCTTCTAGGTGTTGATGACTCTGTTGTACAATTCCATGGGAAAGAACACGTTCAGAAGTATCTTCTGACGCTGATGAACATAGTGAGTAATTTACTAATGTTTAAGAACAGGTCTTGCATGTTGCTATTGCTGTCTCTCATCAAAATAAATACTTCAAGCTAGGGAGCCCTTATTCCTAGGAAGGGATGTGGATTCACTGGAAAAATTCAATCAAGGACTGCAGTGGGTGGTGGGCGGAGCCTGAAGCATTGGTGGGTGGAGCCAGAGGAAAAAGTGGGCGGGATGTGCAGCCACATCACCTTCCTCTCACTCCCCCCCCCCTCTTTATCTGGCAACCAAACTCTGTGGTATACGAGAAACTGGGGCCAGATGAATCAGGCTGAGGGCCCTGATTTCCCACCCCTGCCTTAAGTGTTCAGTGTAGCAATGTAGGTCTAGCTATTCACTATTTTTATGAGAATTTCTCTCATGCAGAAATTTGTACCAAATAATTTTGACTGATGTAACAGTGTTGCCAAATAGTAGTTGTTAGGAATGGAAATGGTATTTGAAATTTGACTGCTACATTTTGTATGTGTCTGTAGTGTAATTTATTCAGGCTGCAACCCTATTATGCCCTTACATAGGAGAAATTTTCACAGGACTCAGTTACTTCTGAGCAAACATGCATACAGATAGGTTGCTAGTGTGTTTGCACTTCTTAGGATATAGCTTGGTAATTAGCTGTGGAAATTATCTTGTAAGAGTGCAGGCATTTTAAGCCGATTGCCCCTTGACATTCTTCTTTGCTCACAGAGCTCTCATGTCACCATTTACTTCAATGGAACAAGCTGCTTTGCTTGCACAGAGAACTGTGAAATCGGAAGGACACATGCACCTTAGGCCAGGAAAATTGGTTCAAGCCAGTTTGCATCAGAATTTGATCCCACACAGTCTACCCCAACCAAATTAGAACTTGTTTGCCATTGACGGTGGCTCAGTTAGCCAGAGTGTGGTGCTGATTATGCCAAGAACGTGGGTTTGATCCCCATATGGGCCAGCTGCATATTCCTGCATTGCGGGGGGAGGGGGGTTGGACTAGATGACCCTCGAGGTCTCTTCCAACTCTACAATTCTCTGATTCCATGCTTCTAAACAAGCAATCTCATTCATGCTACATTATTATTATTATTATTAAAACCAAGCAGGTAGTTGACGGAAACCTATTTAGCTGATGAGGCTTAGGATGGACTCAAATATGTGGCTACAACATTGAATCTATTGAGACTGAATGGGACTATGTATATGAGAGAATGACTCTGCGTGTCTACACAGCAGGGATGGAACATAAAACAAGATCAGAAGGCAAAGAGAGAAACCACAGGAGGGAAATAGGAGCAAAGAGGTTATGGAGAGGGGCACCTGTAACTCTTTATGGGTTGCCACCTGCTCCATCATTTATTTCGTAAAGTTGTTTTTTCATCAGTTAACAATAGAACCACTATCTTTCATTCTCAAATAAAGAACTGAGTATTGCCTGTTCACGCTCTGAATTTAATTTTTTCCTCCTACCCCACTGTGTAGAAAATACACCACTGTGTATTGCTTTGCCTGGATTAATCTGTCAAAGCTCCAGTTGCTGTGGTCAATTCCCTATTGTTCCGACTGCAATAAGACAGCCTTAAGCCAGTTTCTCACTCCGTACATGAGAAACATTCCTCCTCACTTTGCTATCAAGGTACGGTGGGTACTGATCTATCTAATCCGTTGACTGACAAATCCTGGAGTCAGAGTGACAGACAGAGGCAACATATTTTGCAGCTTTATAATTTGCCTTTGTATTTGACTGCGGTTGATTTGATTTGATGTTTGTATTCTATTTTTCCAATGACAAATGCTGAGCTCATAGCAACTCACAATAACAGCAGCTTTAAAAATTAAGAAATGTTACAATTACTATAAGGATGTCAAAAACACAGGAGCATATAAAAAAAAATGCAACCCCAAATTCATCAAACAGTTCATATAAGCTCATAGTGATTCAAAAACTCTGAAATGGCTGCTGAGCACCAGCCCTGTACCAGATGAAATATACTCTTTGGGAAGAGTGCAGCTGCAGGACATTCCCAGACAGCAAGAGCTTTCGCCACCTTTAGTCTTGACTTAAAAATGCTGGGATGAAATTTAGGGAGGCATCTTTGATAATGCCCTTGGAAATACCTGAATTCATTGCTTAGAAATGGAGAGAGCTGGCAAGGCAGTAAAGGTCAGCATATTCATACATGTGACCTGGTGGACAGAATGCAAACATATCCCAATAATTCAAGGTTAAAAAGTCAATATCAGTCAATTATGTAGGGAGGGATTTATTTTTGTCCGTGGCTTAAAATAAAGTGTGCAGATGAAACAGATGGTTTTCTACATTTTCAAGTCAAAGGAAAGCAGAGCAACCTAGCAGTTATGTGGCAAACACATAAAAACAGATTTTGAAATGGAACCTTTTTTATTTTTCATGTCACTTAAATCTATTTTAAGAGATATAGTGATTGTAAGGAAATTATAGGATTTGTAGCTCTGAAATATATTTATTTCGCTTGTCACTGAGCTTTCCAGCATAATCCATTGAGGAAAATGTAGAGGAAATGTTAAGAAACTGTATATATTGAGATATGGTAGAGAGGGCCTGAGACCCTGTCCCACCCACCCCAATGACAATGGTTCCCAAGCTCGACCTCATCAACAGGCCGGTATCATTGCCCCAAAGTGCCTCATGGGCTCTCAACCCTGTTCAGCACAAGTGGAGATATCGGAGAGGTGACAGGGGACCAGATTGTAGTCCATAGGGCTGCCCCTTTAAGGATTTCCATTTCCTAGTAAGGAGGTGAGACCTAAATGGAGTAGGCTGGCTGAGTTACAGTATATTTATTATAAAAATACAATTCTTTAGGTACTAACTGTCTTTTTTATAATATTTTATTATTATTTTTCCAGTAATTATTCAATATTACCACATTGCTAATTTTACATATTTCAATTAATATCAAAATAATTCCAGTTATTTCCAAATTTATGCAATTTAATCAAAGTGGTTTCCTGGGCCCCTTGATCACTGTTTTTTCTCCAGTTCTTATATTGCTGGGTTCATATTTTTTATTAACATCTAATTACATTTCAATTAATCATTAAGATAACAGCTGCATTTTTAGTGATTACTATTTGTGTTAAAACCATATCTAACTTTCCATAAGATTTCAAACGAGGTGCTCTAATTATTTTCCTTTTCTCTGCGTGTGTCAGTTTGAAAATGTCCAATTATAAAGTCCTTGGCCTTTGTCTGCAGTCCAATTCTTGAAATTCCTCTGATTGCTGTTGTCTCTCAGCATAGCTGGGGTGGGGCTACGATCCTGAAGAATTCTCAGAATACCTCATTAGCTCCCTCCTACTGTGCTCTCATCTTGCTTGGTGTTTCCGGACAACAACACCCTCCACTCTTTCTCACTACTCAGTCAACATCTAGAAATGTCCGTAGCCCGAGAAAGAGGGATCCACCTTCCGCCACAGGAGATCTTGGAGTACTTTCATTTTAATGAATCACCATCAAAGTCTCCATGCCTCCCTCATCCACGGCTCCAAATTCTTTTCATCTTTACGACTGCATTTTGGCCAAAGTCCACTTACGTTGTATCTCTTCTATTATGTTTTTAAGGGGAGTAGAGATGGTATCTGCTCTAATTTTCCAAGATAATCCATTCAAGCATTAGAGCTCTCCCCCCATTTCTTTAAACCAAAATGTTCTTTTAATCAAGTTTTATTCCGTACTGCAATCCAACCTCATTTGTATCTTTAAAATTTTGCGTCTGGAGAGAGTTACCGAATCATTAATAAAGAAACTCAAAGTAAACAGGAAGCTGGAGGTTCCCCTCTCCGCCATCCGCTGCCCCCATCAAATAGAATCTTTTTCTCAGTTCCAAACCTCAAATCAGTGCAGGTGGGTAATTCCACAGTTCTGATGACATTTCTCTCGAAGCGTGCCTGACTTTAAAGCCAATTAAAAATCCAATTAACAGGAGAACCTCTGCTTCTTAATGGCAGCGTAGGAGGGTTTTCGCCAGGCAAAGTGCTTTTACGCTCAGCGCCTCCCTGCCCCCTGTGTTCTGTGCTGGAGCGAGAGCCAGGTACCGAGACGGACTGTGAGTGAAGCCTGTTTTTTCCTTCCCTGTGAGGTTTTCCCAAGAATGATTTACCCTCTGTCATTCTTGTTTTTCTCTGCCTTCGATCCTCCAATGTTGTGGGGGCTGCCTCCATGAAGGCAGATAGGAACCGGAAACTAGTACCTAACCTATTGTCAGAGCAGGTCTCCTCCCTCAAACCTGTCCAGGATTCTGAATGGCCTGTCTCTGGCCACTCTGGCCGCCGCCTTCTTGACTTCCAAGTGGCTACTCACTTCCATGCTGCCAGTGCTGTGCATCAGCTCTGGCTGCATGAACACTGTGTTTCTTGAGTATTCAAAGGGATCTTTTGGATCCCGTCTAAAAACTTCAGCTTGCTTACCTTTGAAATGATCCAAACATTCATTGTTATATGACAAGGAGGGCACATGCTGAGGAAAGGCTCATTAGACTTCATGGCACCTCAGGCACTGTAGTGGACCTCTGGAAGCTCTGCTCCCCTCCCACCCTTGGCAAGATCTGTCAGCAAGGACTGGGCTGCCCAGTGCCATGGTGAAGAGCGCCATTTTGTCTCCCTTATTCAGGAGTTGGGAAAGCAGAAAAGAGTGTACTTGGGAACAAAATTGGGTGGAACAGTCCCTGTTCCTTGACACTGATAATTAACTACCTGTGTCACTCTGAGTTCATGTTTCTTGAGCATATTAGAAGGCTGGGGGGGGGATGTTAGGAACTGGATGTCACAGGGGTCCACAAATTCACTTGTCACACTTGCCATGATGAGGATCTCTTTCCCCCACCCCTCAACAGCTGTGGTGAGGTCCCCTTCTCCTGAGCTTGGAGCTAGAGAGTGGAGTAGCACTCTTTGCATAGCCCATGAACGTGCTCCGAGTGCTCAGTGTGATGTCAAGGTCCTCTCACATCTTGCAGAGAGCAGAGTCACACCTGCATACTGTGAAGGGTCCTGCCATGAAGGCCATCAACAACTTTAGGACCCTCTGGATTTGGATATGGAGATGAGAAGCTAATAAATATATCATGAAACAGAGTTCCTTGCTGGCAATTTTCCAGTTCAGGTTTTGCCTTTGATATGTCAGTGTGAGGTACTAGGTGTGAGAGCGATGCTTTCTCTGGATGATTTAAATGCAGCAGGTTGAAAGAGAACAGTAGGTCCCAGGTGGTACAAAGGGCAGAAATGTCACTTTTCCCTGCCTAACTGACAATTTCAAGAAAACTCATAAAGTAAATCTAAGCTCAGCTGTGGAAAAGAATCTTATGAGTGCTACACTTGAATGGTTTTTTGTGTTTTTTGTAAGCAGAATCATGGTTGCAAGATGGCAAGCTGCCTTATGCTGAGTCAGACCACTGGTCCATGTAGCTCAGTATTCTCTACACTGACTGGCAGCATCTCTCCAGGGTTTCAGGCAAGGGACATTTCCTGTCCTCCATGGAGATGTCTGGAATTGAACGTGAGACCTTCTGTATGCAAAGCCGATGATCTGCCACTGTACTGTGGTCCCAGTTGTGAAAGTGGCTTGAATTCTGATAGCGTAGGCTTAGGGGGTGGTGTTCTCCTGTCTCTTTTAAAATCCCAAAGTACCTTAGAGAATAAGCCCAGTTCATGCATTCAGTAGGCAATAGCCTGGTGGGGGAGGGAGCTACACCTGCCCTTCCCTCTATCACCCAAGCAGTCTCCAGTGTGAACAGGACCCTCCACAGGACCACAACATCAGGCAGAGGCTCATGCTGCAATTAGTCCAGCAAATTCTAAGGTGGAAGGAGCCAACATGGTGCCCTGCCCTTCTGAACTCCAACACTGTGTCTTCCATTGCCATGGCTGCTGGGGCTGCTGGAAGCTGGAGTTCAACAACATCTGGATGGTGCCCCCTCTGCAGCCTTCACTGCTGTGGGCTAAAAGCCTGATCCTTTCCCCTGCTTCAACTTGTGCGACAGGGGCAGAGACTTGTGCCACAGCTGCTGAAGTAGCAGCTGTTGAAGAGCCTTCCAATTCTGCCCTGTCACCCCTGTAACCATCCAAAGCTGCAGCCCTCTCAGAAGTGTCCGGAGTCATGCAGTTCGGCTTCACCCCCCTAAGCGCTCTCCCTCTTGTTTGCTTCTTCATCTTTTTCGAACATGCATCCCATGATGGTGCCTTCATAGCTACTGCAGCGCACTCCTTCAATTCCCCAGATGATGGGATGCTATTTGTAATGTTTAGCGTTGCCTGCATCTGCACGTGTCACCCATGCTTGTTATCTTGGGCTGTGCATTGGAGGTGGACTGTTTTAAATAGCTCTTGTGGGCAATTGTATATGCACCAGTTTCCTAGCTGGAAAAGGAGCCCCTCCCCCTACACTTTTTAGAAGCTCTGCAGTTGCGTGGAGAAAACGGCCCTTTCTGCAGCAGGCTTAAAAGCTCTTCATCAAAAAAAGTTAAAGTTGGGTAATATTCTTACCCAATTTCGGTCTCTGTATGTCAGCAGTAGTGCCAGCCTCTGCCACTGTCTCACCCCCCCCGACCTCAGCTGTGCAACATTAGACCCTAAAATGTTTATAGTGCTTTCCCTCATCCCAATTATCCTATTCCACAACCCCCCAGCATACTCCTTTGGCTGCGTGGAACCCATAAAATTTATGCTTACTTGTTAATTTGTATTCCGCCTTTTGTCCAAGGAGGCCAAGACAGTATAAAATGGATTCTTCTCTCTTTATCTTCACAGGTTAGGCTGAGAGATAGCAACTGGCCAAGGTCACCCAATGAGCTTCTTGGCCAAGAGGGGATTTGAACCCGGGTCTCCTCAGCCCTAGTCTGACATTCAGATCACTAGTGTGGAGGAATAACAAGGCAGTAGAAGACACTGACTATTTACAGAATTTGGATAACTGATGAATTTTGGGCCTCCTCCCCAGTTTGTCCCCAATTTATATTCATAATTGTGATGGGATGATGAGCTGCTTGTGCGTAAAATGCAAGTCCCTCAGAGTTTGGTCGAGTCCTCAAACCTCTGCCTGCGACGGAGCCCCTCAAGCATGGCTGCGTCAGTCGCTAGCAGAATCCGACAGTGGGCGCTTACGGAATCTCTTCCAGCATAAAAGCTCCTTAACGGAAACGCGTCTTCTGGACTCTCGGCGTGACAGTTTCCGGCGAGGAGTGGGTGTCCCTATAGGAGGTCCTGACACCTCCCCACTGTTTTCGCTGGAAGTGTCTCTGAGCCATCCCTCCGACTCACTTTCCCTCGGAGCCCCTCCTCTCCCCCTGCTGGTTCCCTCTTCAGCTGCTAAGTCTCTCCCAACCTCTGTGAGCCCTTCCACCTCCTGTCCTTCCGATGGCAGTTCCCTGACAATAATGTAAGAAGAAGTTACTGCACAGATTATTGGCTCATCATGCTGTAAACACATGACATGATCATGAGACTGCAGTGTTAATGTAAGGCTGGTGAAAACTGTTTATGCACTTAGTGCAGGTTTTCAGAACATTTTTGTACTGTAGCTTGTAGGCAAAAGTTGAGAAGGCCAAAAGCTGGAGGGAGGAACTCAACAAAATATAAACTGGTCATGAAGCCAGCAGAAAGTTTGTGACCTTTCTAAAGCCAACATTACTGTCAAAGAGGAGACAAAGATCCCTCCGATGTTAAAAAGCTTCCTTTGCCAGGACATCTGTTTTGTGGAATTTCTAAAAACTTTGTTCAGAAGCAGATAACTTAGATTTTGGAACATTGGCTATAAATTTGGAACATTTACTATACGGTCATAGAAATTTAAGGTAATCCAGCCTCTTGATACTTTATGAGCAGATCTGTATATGCAATGCCAGACTGTTTCTGTTGTACAGAGTACAATTGCTATCCAGTTTCTACCCTCTGCCTTTCCTCAAGCTGCCAATGAAAGTGGAACATAATAAGCTCTCTTAGAGTCAGTCACTCTGTCTATCCATCTAGCCTAGTGGTCTGTACTCTGGCTGGCATCAGCTCCTTCACAGCAGTTGCCTTCTGTTCATTTGTTCCTGAAGGTGCCAGAAACCTTTAGCATGCATGTTCTACCACTGAGCTATGGTGCCATCCTATCTGGTTGGCCCTTGCGTGTATAGCCAATGGGCACATGCCATGGCTCTTCCACTTTGACTGGCCCCATCTTGGCCTCCTTCTTTTTTTCCCCAGCCTGGCACTCTGAGCTTCTGGGTCTGAACACAATTTAAATTTCCCACAATGCCCCTAGCAATGCATCATTCTAGCTGCTCACTCAGTGTGCTGTCATAGCTACCAGGTAGGCTCTTCAGCACACACTGGTAGAGAAGGGGGCCAACCAGATAACACTATGCTCCACCCTTACCCCCCAATACGTACCATGAGCAGGGCAGTATGCACCAGCCTTAAATCAGCTTATATCCAAGTATTCTGCTCTTTACTTGCTTGTGGATCCTGCCCTTCCTCCAAGAACCCCAAATGGTTATCTCATTTAAATCTTGTGAGGAAGTTAACCTGAGAGAGGGCAGCTGCCCAAGGTCACCCAGTGAGTTTCCTGGCTGCTATTCAAACCCTGGTCTCTCCAGCCCAGCAGACACTTTCAGGAATGCACATTTGTTTGTGATCCAGTGCCCAGTTCAAAATTCACTGAGCTGCCATTTTTGTCTGCAACAAAACATTCTAGTCCTTTGCTGATGTGGATTGCTGCAATGCACGAATGCGGGTCGCCTTCTTCCTGCAACCTTCTCTGCACATTATTCTTATTACCTTGATTTGGTTTGCAGACTCTAATGAAGTGTTTCATTTTTTGACGTTTGTTTCCATAGGCCCATCTGTTGTTGTCGTGAATGCGCTCTGCAGACTTTAGCTTGGGAAGGATATCTCTTAGTGTTCTGCTATGGCTGATAGAAGGCATAATCCTGTTTACCAGGCACAGCAGAATGCCTTCCTTCCAACAAATCGACTTCCTTTGGTGTCATTTCTGCAGCTTGGCACACTTCAATTGCTCTGGCCAAAGCGAGAGCTTGAAATTCTACCACTTGGGCTCTCCGTTTGCAATCTTATACCCTACCTCCACCCAAGACAATTTGATCCCTTAGTCAGCAGGCCTTCCAAAGTTGCATGTCTGAAATCACATTTTTTTAAAAGCCTAAAAGGATTCTTTCTTTCTTGAAAGAAAAATGTGTCTCTTAAAAACCTCTCCCCCCCCCCTTGGCATGCAGTGTTTCTTAAGCTTGTCGACCACAATATCATGTTTAGCCAATGGTGAAGGATGGTGCAAGTTGTAATCTAACAACATCTGGAGACCCAAGGTAGAAGGATGCTGTTTTAGGCTATTTCAGTCCTGTTATCATATGGAATCATAATTAATGCTTTTATGTCCTCTTGCAGGTTAATGAAATCTATCACGATGAGTCCTTAGGTGCCCAAATTAATGTTGTCCTGGTGAGAATGATCATGCTGAGCCATGGGAAAGTAAGTATAATTTAAATGATCAGTTCAAATGTCCTACAGTATTTTATCTTTTTAAACCATGTCTTGCAATTCTCTTGTGGCCTATACTGCTTGTTTTTGTGAATGAGTTTAGTAGCAAAGTAATCATATTTAATCAAACACAAGAAGGAATCTTGAGGCACTGCAAAGAATGAGAGAGAAAAGAGTGCAGCACTCATTTTGGAGAGATGCTACCTTACTAGGGGGACTCAGCAAATTGCATTCGTATGCCCCTCAGAGAGATTTCCACTGAAACTTGTTGGGCAATTTATTTTTTTTTATTAAAGTTCTAGTAGCACTTTTGTGTGTGGGGGGGGGGACGAGGCAATATTTAGTCTTTATTGTGGAAGAAGATTTTGTTGACTTTCCCCCTTCATTTCTTAAAAATATATATCAAAACTATAGGGGGGTTGTGCCAGTGGCTTCATATAAAAGGTGAGTTTCAAGGAGGGATTGGAAGGAAGGAAGTCAGTCGCTCACAGAGTCAGATATGTAAGGAGGCCTGGAACAATATGATTGTGACTGATGCTGAAAACAGAGACTTGAGAAAAGCAGCTGCAGGTTTCTGCTGGGACCTGGACTGAGATTAATATCACAGTCTCTGCATGCTGCTGCTGCTGCATTCCTACACTCCCTACTTATTGTCTACATTTTCCCCTGACAATTTGTACATAAGCAGATATTTTAGCAACTCAGCATACATTTCCAGAGTTCTCTCCAAAGGAAGCTGAGCACTGGTCCAGATCTCATGGAGATGCTGAGGTCTCCCAGCCATATTGCTTAATCGAATTCACCAAGAGAATGCTTATAATCACATAATCCCACCACACAGTGGCGACTACCTGTGCTTTTGTAGAAACTCACTGTGTACTGGGCAAGATTCATGGGGTAAGTACAATACAGCTAGGAGTTGGAGAAGGGAATAAATTCACCCTGAGGATGAGCACCCCTTTACTTCTGCTTTTGCATATGCAAGCAAAACTATAGAACTGTACTCAACTAAGGTCTACCCAGAGTAGACCCTTTGACATTAATGAACCTAAATTAGCTGAGTCTGTTAACATCATCAGGTCTACTCACTAGGACTGGCATAGGATGCAACCTGTTTCTCAAACTGAAGATGCTACAGTATTACAGCATCCCTAATCTTGACCAGCTTGGATCACACAAAGGTTGATCTGAATCTCATTCAGTTCAGGGAAAGGAAAACAAAATATGAGTAAAACAACACTTATGTTACCAATTAATTATCACTGTATATCAATAAAAATAAAAATACTAAATAAGCAATCACAATAAACACATCTTTGATCAGCAGCTGTCAAGAATGTATGAAAGGATATGCTACTTTTTGAGTTTTTTATTAAGAAGATTGTTTTATTTCATACAATGCACCCTGTGATGTTGAGGATAACTTGAACAGTACGGTATGTTGCATAGCAACTAGTTTCTCAATGGCTTGGAGATTTCTTAACAAACCATTTTCTTCAGTATTTGTTTCTAATATTACCTGGCACAGTAAAACAAATGCATAAGTAAATTCAAACTCATAGCTCAGAAAAATATAGTTACTTGAAATTTCATTATTTAAGAAAATTGACCAAACAGGTATAGTTGTTCAAAGATCTCTATTATGGTAATTTGAAAGTATGTAGTGAATTTAAACTGAAATTGAGGCAAGCCTGATTGAATAGTTCTGTTATCCAACACCAACTAGTACATAGCTGAAGATTACAGATGGCATGATACAATATAGAATATGTAAAAATATTGTTTTTAAGCCAAAGGTGGTGATAATGCATTGTTGCAACAATGTTCCATTCTTCCAAATGCTATATAAATATGATATTCCTTATTGGTCCACAGCATTTACATAATGCATTAGTTTGAAAACATCCTGAAGTTTCAATGGTTCCTTTTTTGCCCAGTCTTGAAGGGTTTATAGTATAATTTGTATAAATATTATACAATACCACAATGAAATGTGGAGGGTTTGGATTGTGTGGCAAAATGCACTTGTGGTCATTGGGACAATGTCAAGATGACCTTCCAGGGTTCTAGAATTGGCCACCCTTTCTCTAGCGTTAACTTCTGGCATAGCCAGATTTGTTTCAGCTTAGAATGGCAGCTTTAGTGATGCCTTCAGGGTTGGAGATCACGGCAGGAGCTTGTTTTTCCATATCTGTTTATTCTTGTGATTTTTTGATATATATTTTTAAGCACCTTTGATAATCCATATTGTGCATTGCAAGATGTATGTTACCCGAAACAGAGACGAACCAAATGTTGAGAGACGATTTTCTCCTTTAGACTGTGGAAGGCAGCTGTAAGATTTCATGAAATTATTTTTAATGCAACTTTGAGTAGTTGTCTCCCCCGCCCCACAAGTTCACTGCTTTCAGCAAAATGTGTTATGATGGATTTTGGAGAGGAACAAAATAGCCAAGCTGGCCAAGCTGGAGTGCAGCATTTTGCTGTGATCCAACGTCAACCCCCCACCCCTAAATCTTCAGGTTTTTTGTGTAAGGGATTATGGGTGCATTAGGGACAAGTGTGGGTGAGAATTAGGAATGTCAAGAGGCAGACATTTCTGTCCCATCCTGTGTTTGTCGCAATCAGCTCCACTTCAGTTCTGCTATGGTTTGGATTCCACTAAAACCTTCATCATTCATTTTGTTATTGACTGCATAATTCAATGCATTTTAATGGAAGGGAAATGTCAAAAACAAGGCAGAGAATGACATAATTATTTATGTAACTTTCACAGACTAAGAAAACAATCTGTGATACTGAACTGGACCGCTAGTTGTCTTCATTTGTACAATTTTTGTTTCTGTTCTTGGGTGAGCAAGCAAATTGTGGCGATTTCTGCTCACATTTCCATTTCTGATGAAATAATCTGACGTCCCAAGTGCGAATAAAGTTCGGCTCCAGTCAGTGAGGGGCTATTGGGTTCATTGCTCAGCATGACATCCTTAAGTTGTATCCCTTCCCTTTGCGTTCTTCAGATCCATCTCTTTTTCCTCAGCCTGTTCTCCACAGGTGCTTGCCAGTTCCCTGTCGTTCATACCACTTGACATCTTCCCCAAATCTCCAGTGGAATCATTTTCCGCATCTTTCTTCCTAGCCATCTTCCAGCCACTCTCTTAATCCGTTTCCAATCAGAAGTGAAAGCTGGAATTTTGTATCTGTGAGGAAAGAATCCTGGGGCCGGCCATTATTCCCATTAGCGGAAAGAGGGAGAGAAGCTCTCTCTCTAGAGCCAGATTTCAAAGCATGATGCAGATGCCCTCAGAAACAGAACTGGAATTCAGGATACTTTAGAGTAGAAGTGTAATGTAGTCCTTACAGCTACATATTACACACTCACTTCCCTTCACCCCAGTTGTAAATGGTAAATTATTTCCCTTTTTTATGAGATTGACAGTGTGCCATGTTTTCTTCCCCTTGCTCCCACCCCAAATTACATTGCTTGTCAGTCGCTGCATCGTCTAATATTTTATTGCTGATATAACGTTTCTGCTTGAGCGTTATACTTATATTACAGTATTAGAGGGGAAATCTAATAAGCCACTGCCATGAAATAAAGCTCACAATCCTTTAAACCCAAAATGACACTTTTCTGATTGTGTTTGTTATTGTTGTGAGATCTGTTACCATGGGTTCCAGATGCTTTGTTTTTCTTTCCTTGTTCTTTTCTTTTCATAATAACTTGCCTAGTTCATATGACAGAGGGAAATAATCAAATAAGCCAAGTAAACAATTTGGAGGAAAATATTTTGAAAAGAACTAGTGCCCTTAGTCATTTCTGATGGCAAATGAACACATTGTTTTATTGTCTCAAACTTGGGTGCTATGTTGCTCTTCAATTTGACTATCAACAGTATTATCAATGCTCTTTTTAAAATCTAACAAGATGAGTATTTTATCCCCGGGAAGTTTCCATGTATTCTCAAGGATGGCATAGAATTGTCAGAAGTTACAGCTGGAGCACCACCTAATGGATACGTTTTGAAAGTCTCCCTTTCAAGCTAAAACAAAGGCATCTAAAGGACTTCCAATTGCTTTCTGGAACTAGCTGCCCACAGCTGCCAGCAATGAATAACCATATATCCTTAAGAGTGAACTTATCATTTGAGTGGGAATTTTTATGTAGGCAAAAAGGGATGCCAGCAGACCCATGGAAATTCCAGAATATATGGGGGGGGGACCCTAAAGGAGGGTGGAGGGGACTTCATATACAGCTCAATGTGGACTAAGCATGCCTAGTGGGCACAGAATGCTAACGTACTGGAGGGGCCAGAAAACTGGGTGAGGGGAAATGGAGTGGAGTATGCTGGAATGGAGTATAGCTGGCTAGCTGGAACTCAACAGCAGCACTAAACAGGATCCTACCCATCACATCCCATTCTTCTAATGCCCAGTTCAATTCAAAAGTTGTGGGGGGGGGGACACCTTCACTTTAAAAATTGAATATTTGTTTTTTAAAAATTTCACCATGCTTCTCAGCAGTGCTCCCCCAAGCAATAAGAATTTTGCTTTAAAAATTTGCTTTAAAAACATTAAAAACAATAAATAGCAGAGAAGAATGAAAACATGCCTTATCTAAGTGCCAGGCAACCACACCCAGCAAGAGAAAAGGCTCTTTTAAATAGGATGGCATTCACCGTGGTCCAAAATGATTGCAGTGAGTTAGGAAGACAAGCCTGCCTGCACTCTGCAGGGAGTTAGAAGTTCCTGCCTTATTCACCACCCTTTGGACCTGCGGTAAAGCCGAGACTCTCTCAACAGAGCTTTTTAAGGTCACTTCTGTGTGAGGCCTACACAGATGAAGATGTTCCTTTGCCATAACTAGCTGTAGTGCCTGTAGCAGTAGAACCTAGTAAGATACCCTGCTTCTTTTCAGCCAGTGCTTAAGAAACCTCAGTTCTTTAATAATAATAATAATAATAATAAATTTTATTTATATCCCGCCCTCCCCA